TGAAGAGCCATTCTACAGCCGCCAAGTTTCGTGGCTGTCAGGTTGGTGGGTTTGGGTCACTTGGATTTTCTGTTCCTAGCAGTGGCTGGTCCTGATAATCCATATCACTAGGTGAGATTTGAAGGGGACTGCGGCTTTCACAGAAGGCAGTTCCATGTATGACATCTAGGGTTACGTGTGCTATAAGGACATGAAGACTGCTGTTCAAATTCTTTTTAGGGAGAAATCTAGAAAAACCCATTTCCTGTGAATTCAAGATGCAGTTTCTGCTCTCACAAGGTTTCCACCTTATTGTGTTTCCCTGTTCGCGTTGGCCTCTGTTTAATATCTTCTTTCTATCTTATGTTTGATTCAAACTTATAGTGACTGGACCTGATTATTTTCAAAAACCTACTATTTTATTCCAGTCTTATTTGCAATTTCGTGTAAGCAACAACCAACTCTTTGTTTAATAAGATGTTAATTTTTTAAAAAGGATAGTCTTGAGTTAATTACTTAAACTGAGCCTTAGTTTACTTGTTTGTAAAACGAGATTCTTCCATTTACCTATTAAGGATAATGTCAATATTAAAAGAGACTAATGAAAAAATAGTACCTAATACAGAACAGGTATTAATAAATACCAGATATTCCTTAATTGTAATCAGGTTGGGATTCAATAAGAAGGTAGCTAAATAGTTTTTAATACAGATCAAGATCACAAATGAAGTGAAATAAACTTATATACATTCAGGTTGCTGATATTCTTAGGCCATAAAAATCGACATTCACATGACAACCCCATCATTTACGTGGACTTTTAAAAAACATTTATTAAAAAAGCAAAATGTATGTTCATCTCAAATATAACAGTTCAAAATGGTAAAGCAATACAAACAACTTGTATACTAGCAGCATCCCATTGTTCAATCCCCTGCCCTACTTCTCAGTCTATTTGTGGCAAGCCAAGTCTTTTCCAAGCTTGCTGCTAACTACCTTCCTCATCATAGTGCAGATAAAACCATATTTTATAAAATAAACAATTTAAGGTTAAATAAGCTTAAATAGGGGTGTTAAATACAAGACACTTCATCAAAGCTTCTGTACAAAGATAAACAAATTTGACGTTGTACAAGTGACCCAGCTGGCTCACAGAATATATGAAAGTTCTAGTGATTCAGCAAATTTACTCTTTTTGTCAGCAGAGCATTAACTATACAAAAGTGAACTAAGATTTGAAGTGATTCCTCAGTGAGCCATTTACAAGGCATATGTATCTTAAAAAAAAATCAGAATACTGTTAATATTCAGGCACTATTTGTTCCTGCAAATAAATAAGTCTCTAAAGTAACTGCATTCAAACTAGTGTGAAACCATCAGTGCTTTTTGTTTGCCCCCCTCCCCACCCCCGTCCCACCACAGCTTCTCCAACTCCGTACTAAGCGCCTCCTTTATTATTGCTATGATCACGTGGCTGGGGACATACACTACTGTACATACAGAAAAATAGAGCACCTTTAACATTAAAGTATACATCTGATTATTTGTTTTTATGCTTATTTTACAATCCTAAAGCCCAGATTATGGTAAATTGCTTTAACATCTCTAGCAGGTCCCCTGATACACAGGAACTACAACCCGACTATCTTCCCCCTTGAGGTAAGCCCCCGCCAGAGCACCGTTGTAGTAAAACCTAAAGGGAAAAGGTTCACAACAACAAGGTTTACATTCGTCTTGACCCCAGGAGGTACAGTCATCTTCACATCAGCTCTCCTCTCTCCTCTCCCAAGGGGCCACCAAGAAGGACCGCGGCTCCAGATCCTGCTGGTGTCAGTGGTGCCGGCCGGAGTGGAAGGGCAGAGACACCCACGGCTGATGGAACGCATGGTTATAAACACATTTTGTGACTCGGTGGGGACCACAGCTGTTCCCATGCTCGTCTTTTGGTGGGCATGACCCGGTTAGGATTTTTTGTCAATGGTATTGAAAAACCATTCGGTGAATTTCCTCAGCTGGGCGGCTGCTGTTTGGGACTCCTCCTGTAGCCGCATGTTATCGTGTCTCAAATGCTGAACTTGGGCTTGGAGAGCTGCTTTGTCCTGCCTTTCCTGGTGGAGGGAGGAGGACACAGACTGAGTCAGGACTGTAAATGGCATTCTCCCCACCTAAGCCTGGGAACCGGGAGCCCTCTATTCTGAGTTTCTATACTTCTTTATTAACTGCTTGAGGGAGAGGAGGCTTATTTTCTTCAGTGAGGTGATTTGCTTGCTCTTGATTTCTGCCAAGGGGAAAGGAATGGGGTGAACATATCCACAATGTCCCGCTTTTCTTTACATTTGGCTCCTATTGGGTATCGTGATGGTTTTTATATATGAGGGAGATATTTACAGTTAATATCATGCTCTATCAAAAACTGTTCTGAGATGACAAGAAGACGTTAAATTTAACATCCTTTAAAGGATGCCTAAAAATTCCACATGAACTTTTTATTTACCGTGCAAATTAACCAACAGAACTATTAGGTGTGCTTAGAATGAAATACGTGCTTAGGCACTTAGTTCCACCTTGAGCTTTTCAGCGACCCTGTGTCTCTACAACACCTGGAAGTTTGTCCTTATGAAGTGTTGGCGGGATGCCTTTCTCCAGATAGAGACAGGGGACTCACCACCGTCAGGGCATTTTACATGGGATCTGACCAGATGATGAGCCCCGCAGGCATTTTCCTGACACGTAGCCACGCTATGGGGTCTGTCTCCAGTGATCCAGCTCTCCAGAAATCTTTGGCCTATGTGGCACGGTTGCTCCTATTTCTTGGTTCCTCTTCATGCATCCCTAATCAGATATCTGCTTTGTCATTGGCCCAGAAAACTAGTCCCAAAAAGGGAGGCTTGAAACTCCCTGTCCGGACATCAAGACTAACCCTATCTGTCTTGCAGCCAGACTTTCTGTAGCTACTGTTGGCAGTTCCTCTCCAATATTCCCAGGCCTCTCATTCCAATCTGGCCAGACTTCCTTGCTGTGACCCCACTGCCCAACCCTCCACATCCCCAAACCCTTTGACTTCGGCCCATGGTACTTATATCCGGCTGCTAAAATCTTCTCTGTTTTCATCCTCTTCTCAGACTCCCGTACCCATGTTCTAAATTACCATGCTTTCCCAGAAGGCATTGCTTCTCCTATGCAGCCCTCAATGCTGCCTCTTATTCTCCCAGAGCCCCAAGAACATGAGGCTAGAAGCAGGGTAGATAAACGCCTTGTTTTCCATTGCTTGGTCCAGATGACCGCTTCTCTCTAAAACGCCAGCTTCTTTGAAATAGAAGCCCTTACGTGGAAGACCTGCTGGCCACCTTGCATTGTAGTTATTGCTGCAACCCCAGTTCCTGCCATCAGATGCTACCCCATTCATCTCGTCACCCTTCCTGTTTTAACTGCACTTAGAGGCTTCTACTCAACACTCTGGGCATGCACCTTCTCTGTACATCCTCACAACAATTTTGAGACTCACTCAGTGCCCACTCCCATGGCCATATTGTATTCTACCTTTCCCACTAACTGCATGCCACCCTAAAGCTGTTTCAAGCTCTTAGGATGTGTTGATCTGAACTTCTTTTTAAAAACCACTTAAGAACTCACCTCCTCCACTAATCTAATCCACTATTCTGATCTACTGTCACTGACAATCAGCACCGTGCTTTATGGCGACAGGGTGACTAGCCATCTGGCTTGCCTGAGATTTTCTTGGTTCTTGCCCTAAAAGACCTATGCCCATGAAACTTCTCAATATTAGGCAAACGGGGGCAGTTAGTCCCCGACTGTGAAGAAACACACCTAACTCTGTCCGCAGATTGTAATGTGCGTTACATATTTAATGTATCTTCAGCCTCGGTTAGCAATCACACCAAGCACAGGCTACTTTCTACTTGACAAGGTATTTTACACTCACGGACCCCCAAACCTCTCATACGCTTGCCTACCACTTACTCACCATGTCACTGGGAAAGGAAAGAATCAGAAAAGAATTGTCTGTGTGGGCTTGGTAGGAATGCAGTTCTGCACATGCCACTCCACCTCTGGGGACTGTGTACGGACTGTCTCTACCCTAGCTAAGGCACCTTCCCCTTTGCATCCTACATACACCCTGGCTGCCTGTCAGGACCATTTCCACCAGCATCCACACCAGCTCTAATCTCTCCCTCATTAAAAAACAAAACAACTACAGCAAAACTTGTCATTGTCACCACCCCCCCACCCCGCCCACACACACACACAAACACCTCTATCACTCTCCAATTCTCTTTCCTCCTGGGACAGCAAAACAACAACTAAACCAAACAAACTTATTGTCTGATTCTCCTTCTCCTTTTCCTTCTCGAATCTATCCCTCGGGACTCTATTGAGGGTCTGCTGGTGTCACCAACTAGGACCATGCTGTCTGTCCTTTCAGTAGCATTTAATAGAATTGATCTCTTGCCTCCTTTCCAAAGCACTTTCTTCATTTTGCTTTGGACACAGCATACGTTTTAGCTTTCTCCTCTCTCACTGGCTGCGCCTGCTCAAGTGTCCTTTGCTGGACCACGGTCCTCTCCCTGACACATGAACACTCTCCACGGTCAGTCTGTGGGCCTCTGTTTCTGAGGCCTGCAGCCTATCCACTCTGAATCCCTTCCCCTAATGGCCCAAGCCTGCTCTGCCACAGTGCTTTCTATCTGAGGAGATGCCACCCCTGTTCCCTCATTTAGGCCACAGACCTCGACATGTTGTACTCTCGCATCTCACATCCAATCCATCAGCAAGTGTCATGGCCACTTTGCACCATTCCCAATAGCCTTCTTGCCTGACCTCTGGTGAGAGGTTCCTGCCTGGCTTTCTACATCCCTGTTTGCCTCTCCTCTATTGCTGTCTGTTTCCCCCAAATAGTGTGAGTGATCCCTTCTTGATTAGGACACACCACTGGCTTCCAATCCACTTGGAACAAAATCAAAAGTTCTTCCCTAACCTGACAGAACTGCCTGCTCTGTGCCCTGCCGCCTACCTTCTCACTGTCTTCTAGTACCCCCCTCCAGAAACAATGGCCTCTGAATGTACAGTAAGCTCACTTTTGCCTTAGGCCCTTTCACCAGCTCTTCTCCAAGCCTATGACATGGCTGTCACCAGATAAGTGTGTCCTTGGCTCTGTGCTCATGAATAATCGCATACCAGCCTAGTCAGTCAAATGACACTGCTTCAGAAAGATCTTCTCCACCTCTCTCCCTCAGAATCAGACTGTCCTCTTATCCTACGTTAATTTTCTTTGTTGGATTAATCACTATTGGAATTACCTAGTTGTTCATTAGTCAGTTCTACCACAGGGCGGAATTGTCTTATGTTCCCAGTGACTTGAATTCTACAACAGCTTCTCAGTCATTGGTGTTTGTGTTGTTTTCCCCCTCAATCATTAGCTTTTAAAAGAATCAACAGTGAACTCCTACATGAAGCAGAAGCCATTAGAGGCTCCCTCTTCTTTTAACGAACAAACTCAGGGACCTGTTTTGCACTGCATCTGTCTTTTTCTCCTTCCTGGATTCGCTCCTCTTCCCCGCAGCTCCTTTCTCCATCTGTCCCTCCTGTCTTCTGGAGGGTTCTACTCTAGCGATCATATTTTCCTTGGTGCACAGTTCTCTGACAAGCTCCTCTTTCCTCCATTTGTCTGCAACCTATCAGACTCCTCTACAGATGGTCCTCTCCTGGTATATCTCTCTCCATGGTTGCCGCTTACTTTCAACCTCAACAACCAACATGCTTTGTACTATGATCCCTGTTTTTCTGTCCAGCTTTCCTTCTTGCGGCTCTCATTTACGTACTTGAAGCCTCGGCTGGCCTGAATCATGGCTCTGCAATTCCCTAACCCAACGCTCAACAGGAAGGCCCCTGGCCTGGATTGTGGTCTTCTGGCTGACCTTACTCATCGATGGCTGCACTGACGAAACACCAAAAGCTCAACACATGTTTATGCAATGAATGATGTCATTTCTTTTGAGGGCGAACCCACAGGTTGATGTGTGGCGTAGAAGCCCTGGGGATGTTGGGCTGACTCAGCGAGAGCCCAGTAGCTTGGAGAGATCAGGCTCTCTGGCAGTGAACTCGTTTCTAAATACGTGGTGTAATAGCCTGCAGTCTTTCTACTTTCTCTGAAGGCTGGCCATCCAGAAGGCCTGTCTCAGTTATGGTCCTAGTCACGGTGCCACTCTTGTGCATTAAAATGGAATATATTGGACACAGGCCAGGAGAATGAAAATAGATCTCATGCCTTCAAATTTCTACTTATTGTTTGGTTTCATTTGGGGTGATCTCTTATTTTCATCTGTAAGAGTTAAAAGGGAGTGAACGTATGAGAGAATGCATTCTCATATGGACTTCCAATGAAATTGCTTTACCTTCTGAAGGTCAGTCTGCAGTTGTCGGAGAATTAACTCCAGCTGATTGACTTTGCCAGTCAGTGTTGATGGAGATCGCTCCCTAGCAAATAAGGATGTAATTAAAAAGAGTCAATGGAGTTGAAGTCAAGACGTTTCATTCAGGGTTTTAATTTGTTTTCATTCAAAAACTCAACATTATTTCATGTTTAAGAAAACAAATTATATTATACCAGATGGAAAAAGTGTACATATTGTTGCTTTGGTAGAAACTCCCTCCAGGATCTCTATTTATTTAAAAGGGAGATCAGAATCTCTACAGACACAGGGTGGTGAACAAACAAAATACAGACTACTAAAATGAGTTTAGCGACCTGAGATAAGGCAGAGCAGAATGACAGATAGACTCAATTTTCCCCACGTGCTTTCTCCTGGCATGAACCATCATGAAGGGGATCACCAAGGTGACCATGAAAGTTACTGATAACTCCATGCATGTACAAATTGGGTTAGGGGGAGGTTCTATGTTCCATAGGGGATTAACATGTCACAAACATAGGGGAAAGAGGTGGTTCATTTCTCAACATACTTCCACAGAGAGCAGGAGCCAGGGTCAAGGAGTAGGGATCCTGAAGGGATATTTGCCGCAGCCAGAGTAAAATGTGTGGCAACACAGGCAGGTGGCTACTTGGCAGGTGGAGGGCTGAGATCAGCCAGGGTGCACCTGCCTGGTGCCATCACAGTAATAAGCAGATGAAGATGCTAAAGAATCTACCCTTCCCTTCATCAGTGAACTTCTGTCTTCCTGAGTAAGGCACAGCTCCACAACCTATGTCCCAAGAAGGGCCTGCCCGTTGGGTGGAACATTCATGCTGGGCTTCGGACTGTGGTCGGCGAGGCAGAATCAGAGTCAGCCTCGCTTAGCTTCTCCTATGGATTCTGACTGAGGACTGGGGTTAGAACTCATAGGTGGGACTTGACCTCTTGGACTAGTTGGGACATGCTGAGTAATTTTAAGTTGAGAAAACTTGGGGAGAAGGGATTCGGAGGGGGTACAGAGATTCACATACCCAGTGGTATCCAGGAAATCCTTCCCATTGCCTGGGTCTACACATAAGGGGAGCTCCTGAGCCCCTTCCAAGTCCTGCATGTGTTGCATGTCTGTCAAGGTACAGAAGGAGGCCACTCTCTGGTCTGAGAAGGGGACAAAAACACACAGAAAGGGGGTTCAGGAATAGCCCACCACAACACTTATTACTGGAAATGAGTTTTGTAGCTAATTAACCCTCCCTAAATTCAATTATTGCCCTATTCTAAACAAAACAAAACAAAACAAAACCACAACACAGCAAAACAAAACAAACTCCAGCAAGCTGCTGGCAATCGGAAAGCATGAAGATTGGCTGTCCTTTCTGGGTGTACAGCACACACTCATCACGGCCATAAGGATGTCTAGCAGAGCCTACATTGGCTAGAGCCAACTTGCTTTCTTCTTTGCACATCTCCCCAAATGCCCAAGTCACCAGCTGTACATGGCACAGCAGAGCTGAACGGTGATTTGATTAATAGTAACTAGATGAACCTTTCCTCAAGCTCGCCCTGAACTCACAAAAAATTCTGGAGACAGAAAATCAACACAACTCTCCCTCCACATCCCACCCCCCAGGGTTTGGGCAACCATGCAGACGTGCAGACATGAAATAGAGAGGAAAGTTTACGAAGCATCAAGAGCCAGCGATCAGCCCCAGACAGTCACCTAGATAGGGCGTGTGGTGACAGAGCAGCCCACGTTCTTCATCTGAGTCAAGACCTGAAAGAAGATTTAGAATTTTCCTATGAATAGAAATATCTCTCTGTACTTCAGAACATCTGGAACCCCCCTAGCGGTTAAGGACAGACAGGGTGGGCAAACATATCCTCTGAAGAATCATCTTCACGTACTGCCCACTGGCATACCACCCTCAACACACACACACACACACACACACACACACACACACCCCATAAATGTATGCCACACCATTAAGTTTATTTATATGACTTGCCCTAAGATGTCTCATTTCAAGAATGTGAAGATAGTGGTAGTGGGGGAGATTAGATAAGGGCTCTCACTAGAATTCCTTAAAGGAAGATCTGTGGGACACAGTATTTATAACACAGGAACAATGATCAGTATGACTACAATGTCTTATCTTACCACATGCCCATTCTATTCCTGGCACCAGTAACTTAATCGTCAGTGCTTCAAAAGCTAAGTGAGAAAGGGAATCTTGTATTCTTCAGAATTGGTACTGAGTTAGCCTAGGCCTAGAGGTTAAATACATTGACAAAGATAGAATATTTGTGCAGAAATGTTGGGTGTTGTGCAGTAAACAGTTATGTTTGGGGCACAGTGTGGAAGTGAAATTCAGGCATATATCTAATTAATTACCCACTTTTCCCTAATGCCTCCTGGCCCTTTCCTTGGTTTCAGAGCACATGCATGCATTTTCGGCTGGAATCTGAGGGCCACCGCAGGTGAACTAATGATGCCACATTCTTTTTCCTGTGACGTGATTAATGGCGAAGCAAATGCATTGGGTCCGCGTCAGTGGTGCTCTGTTCTTTATCTCACTCTGTCTCCCACTGGCTGCGGGGGAGCCGGCTAATGAGGCTACCTAGTTGTTTGGTTTATGGAGGGCCAGGCACACTTAGCTAATGAAGAAAAATGGTGAGGTGAAGGCTGCCAGCAGCATTTGAAGAAAACTGGGGTTGTAAAGTTCTGGACCCAGTGGTGGAGACACCACCCATGCCCCAATCGAGGTTTAAGGATCCCCTGAAAGTGGTACCGAGAGCTCTCCTCAGGCTCCTCCACCACGAGGCTTTCTAAAGGCAGAGGCTCTCCAACCCACATTTCTGTAAAGCCTAAGACCAGCTTCTCCACACTTCCAGTCGTAAGAGAGGGCGAGCATTTTATCCCTGGCCATTCCGGAGAGACAATTATGCTCCCGGTACTGAACTACTCGGTGATTTAATGAAGGGTAAAGGCATTTCCCGGATTAAGTCCGTACACTGGGTTTCCACATGATGTGACGGACAGAGGACGGGAATGATGGCAAGACAGGTGACTAGCAGCAGCTCTCCTGCGAGTGGCGGGTGGGAAGGTCTGGTTGTGGCAGTCCCCAAGCTAACCTCGGTTCTTAAGAGCTCCAAATACTGGAACAGAGCATACCTGCACCCCCTTTTTAAACCAACAACAGATGCACTTTTCTCCTTCAGTGATTTAACTATTGATGAAAAAGGCACACCAAAAGAAAATGACAGTCCTTCTAGCGTTATCGTGAAAGGGTTCCGTTGACTCATCCTCATTGTATGCATCAGTGATGAGCTGATTACGATTCTCTCTTTCTTGATGTACATGGGGGCTTCACAACTTTGTGGAAAAATTCCATTACATTTTAATTACACTTTTCCACAAACTTTTTGAAGCCCCATCATACTTGGTCAAGTCTAAGTATCTGGATGAAAACATCTCAACCTGCTTCACCTACTTTGTCCTTCATTGACAAAATACACACAGAGTTGAGAGAAAAAGAAATTGCTACTGGCAGCCATTCAGACATTCGCTGGGGGGAGAAACAAAGTCCTACTGGTCAGGAGGCAAGAAGCCAAAAACAGGTCTGCCAGCAATGTAGTTTCACAAGGAGGATTTGACGTTGGATCTGAAAAGATGGGATGAGAGTGGGGAGTCAAGGGGATTTGAGATGGAAACGCAAAACTACTTGGTGAAGTAGAGACACTAAAACTACTTTATGAACTAGGTCATCTTTGTGACAGTTTCTGGTTAGTGGAAGCTTTATTCCTCCACAGCTTATTTCTGCGATGATAAATACTCAGTAATAACATTGAGCCAAATGGGCCAAAGAAACTGCAAGAGAGATGTGGGAGCATAAACTTCACTGAACAGCTAATACAGTGGAAAGTTATAATTATTGAAATTCCACACATGTTGCATATATCTGTATCTGTATCTATATCTATTTCCCTCCTTCTCACATAAAGAGTTATTTTCTCAGAAACTCACAGGGGCAGTTCTACCCTGTCCTGTAGGGAGGGCTGGGCATCAACTGGATGGCAGCAAGCTTGGTTTGAGTTTATTCTGTGCCTGTGCAAGCTAGCCTGGATAAGGTGGGGCATGAAGCATGATTTATTCATTAAACATGTCACTGGCTTAAATAATCATAAAACCAAAAATATCTTATCTCAATGTTAGTTTCTTATTTGTATCAAAAGCGTGATAATGTATTTAGGGCTAAAGAAAAGATGAAAATCAATATACTAATCCTTGTCAATCTAGAACTGAGACCTGAGAAGGTAAAACATGCAAGCAATGCTCATTAACACTCTAGGCCAGAGAACTGTAACTTTGGGTCTGGATGAAATGCGTGCTCTATCAATTAGTCATGTCTGCTGAGGGTGTGGAGTAGTGAAACAACACATGCCTCAAATATGCATATTTTCCATCAGGATCCACACGCTTGATAAGGATTAAAATAAACCCATTTTTACAAACAAAGCTGTGTTCCAGACAGAAAGATGGTGCTTTGCAGTCCCATGTAGGAAAAGAAAGGTTCTGATTCTGACAACCACGCTTATTGGAGTGCAAAAAGCAAGCTTAAGTAAAAGGGAAGATACAAGTAACAAGGCTACACTGCACTTTCAACACAAAACACCTTCATTTGGAGTAGGCCTTCTGCAGACCATGACCTGTAGAAATCTGACCACCCTCGACCTAACGAAGAGGGAAAAGCCTTGCCACTATTTTCTACCTGAGACACAACTGTTGTCTTGAAACAGTTTTTGATTGCTTAACTTTAAGATAATGTAAATTTACCTACTGAAGTACATTTGGCTTTACCTTTTTAACCCATGCAGCAGTCACTTTCATTTCTTCTTCCTTTTTAAAGGAATTTTCAAACATGCATGATCACCCAGGATGTTGCATTCGTTTGAGTTTTGTTTATGTTTGTGTCCGTGAACAGACACACATTCATGCTGCTCAAGTATCCGTACTTTGATATTTGTTACTATCAGTGACAACCACCAGGTGAACATTAAATTGTACTTTTAGAATTGAAAAAGTTAGAAAACCATGGTCTCCTTAAAAATATGTATGCTTAATTTGCTGCTTAAGAAACCATGCATATAAGAATGAAAATATAATCTTTGGGGGAGGGATTACTTCCTTTCTGCAGTGGGGCCTGATGACTGGGCTGTTTACTCACATCCATTCATTCACAAACACTCACACTCCATGCTCAGTCTGTCCTGCTGCCATCATCTAGAGCGGGGGTTCTCAACCTGTGGGTCGTGACCCCTTTGGGGGTCAAACAACCCTTTCACAAGAGTCGCCTGATACATAACAGTAGCAAAATGACAGTGATGAAGTAGCAACGAAAATAATGTTATGGTTGGGGGGGTCATCAGCACATGAGAAACTATGAAAGGGGTGCGGCACTAGGAAGGTTGAGAACCACTGTTCTAGAGGAAGACACCCTAGGTCTGTCCGTCTATGTCCTTTATGCCGTGGAGGATGCTCAAGTCAGCTTCTGATGATCAATTTCTTTATCTAAACACCAGCATCCTGTTGTTCAACATTCAAGAAGGCATCAAGTATCTATTTCTGATATTCTGATAAATGGGAATTACTTTAAATCCTACAATTCTTAAATATCCGCTTTTCTTCCTCTGCTTTACTGGTGAGCTTGCCAGTTGGGTTTGTTCATTTTACCCGTTTCTGGGGGAATATAATCTAGTAGCTGTAGCATTAGTTACCCGCCAACCTAATGGCAAGGATGATAAAATGATGCTTTAGGCTGACTGTGCATATGACGGCATGAAAGGTACAGTCTGAAACATAACTCTGCCCATTTTCCAAACGGTGCCCTGTTGGCCTCTCACTGACTTACCTGTTACAGCTTAGGGGCCTTCAGGAGTCATGGAATCCACTGAGGCGGGAGACACCACAATGGACTTAAGTTCTTTCCAGCAGACCTACTATGCAGGGTTATCAAGGTTTCTGACAGTTTAGGTTTTTTTTCCCCCTCCCAGTAGAGTTGGGCTAGTAATGATTTTTATTTATTTATTTATTAATTAATGATTAATGCAGCTACACAGTTCTCCTTTACCGGAAGCTTTTTAAGTCTTTAGAATAATTCCTCTGACCAAACTCAATAATTAGATTTCTGGTAAAAGAAAGGGTACACTTTTCTGGCACTGGCTACATAGTGTCATATAGCTTAAAAAAAAAAAAGATGAATCACTTTATTATCTTTATAAAGAAATCAGCTGTGAATATTCATCACAGTTTTTGCAGTCAACAGGTGTGCATTGGTGGCTCATTACCACTTAAATTCACATGTGTGTTTGAATATTTTTCAAAAACTTATTTATTGTGTATTTTAAATTTTGTGATGTATTCCATATGCCTCGACCATTTATATACCAGGGACTTGGTATCTTTGCTATATGGTACTTTATATATGGTAGCTAATATGGTTTTTCCTACCACATTTATTAAGATTTTTTCTTTATATTTACCTTTACATATTAATGTTCTTTTTCACTTTCAGAAATGCTTAAATACTTTTAATCAAGCCACATTGTATTTTGTATCATCCATCATTCTGTAATAAAAGCATTAATTTGCTTACAAATTGTTAGTAGTAATAATTTCTTGTTTACTTTTTCTAGACTAGACTTTTCTAATTTCTAAATCCAAGTGGATGACATGAATTCCTTCCTTACCTCTTAACAATTGTGATTTCTGTATGTATTCCTTAATTCTTTCAGCATGATTCATTTCTGTTTTCATATTATAATAATAACTATTATTATTCATTTTATACCTACTTGTCAATTTTTAGTATGATTTATAACAACGTTTTTGTTAAAGATTGTTCAGCTATTTTCTAAATAGAATTCAAAAACATATCCTTTTAGAATTTGTTTATTGGACCTGTGCTACAAATTACAGATTTGTACACATTAACTCAATAAGCAATGGGATCTTTACTATACTTATTTCTTTCCACTCATTCTCAATCTCACATATATTAAGACTTTTCAATGATTAAGTGTTTTCTAAATTTCTTTCATCATAATTATAATGATCCCCAAATAACGTGTATTTCAATATTTCTGATCTTTACACAAGAAAACAAAATGGACTGCCATCAATTTCTATCTTATTCATCAAATTAATTCCTATATATCTACAGGGCACTTCTTAAATTATTATCTTATATATTTGTTGGTATTAATCCCCTTTTGAATTTCTAATTTTGTTTATATGTACATTTAGAAAATTAAATTTGCTACTGTTTTATGAACACTCATAAAACGATTCTTCATTTTATTTAAATATGACAATAAACTTTCCCCTGTCAGTTGTTATTTAAATTTTGATTTCTTTCTTTTCTCTTGAGTTGTTCTTTTATAATGTCTGTGGAATCTTTTTTAAATACCCACCTACTACCATTGAATAGATTTTGCCTCGTGGAGATGCTATAGGACTGAGTAGAAAGCCTCTCTGTGGTTTCTGATACTGTAGATCATAATGGGAACAGATGGGCTTGCATCTTCTTTTTCTGTGAAGTGGCTGGTGGGTTTGAATTGCTGACCTTGAAGTTGGCAGTCCCAAATGTAAACTCATTGCAACACTAGCACTCTTCTTTTAGAGTACAGCTATGTGAATCCATTCTTCATGTTGTTTTCATTCTTTGCAATTTAATAACTGTTTTGAAACGATATTTTTAAAAACAGAACCATTTTGAACAATGTCTAAACATCTTACAGGTCGCCTCTTTTCCATCACCAATCGTTTAAAGAAAAAAGGTGCTCTTTGTGCTTCCTTATTCTTCACAGTCCAACACATATTAGTGTGGCCCTGACAGTTACAATTAGGAGCCCTAGTGGGTTACAGGTTGGGCTGCAAGTCAACAGTCTGAATGGCCAGAAGCTCCCTGGGAGAAAGATGAGGCTGCTATTTCCTGTAAAGAGTGTCAATCTCAAAAACCTACAGGGGACGTTTGGCTCTGTCCTGTAGGGTGACTCTGAGTTGGAATAGACTGGAGGGCAGTAAGAGTGGACAGTTATGCTTCTGAATGTTACAAGGGTCATGGGATCTCAATTCAGTAGTAGGTAGATAAATTCCATTTCTTTAAAGCTAAGTTTCAAATGGGCTAATTACTTACATCAAAATAAGGGAAGTGAACTCAACACACCTTAAAGTGTTTTATTAGTTTATGCCAATTAAGTGAACAATCACATAAGGATATTTTGGGCCATCTTTTCTTCATAATATTTATGATACTCTAGTTCAGAAATGACTTCAGTAACTGATGCAGAAAGTTATAAGCAGGCCAACAGAGTTATAGAGGTGTACACATTTCTCTCTAAAGTACTAAAGTTTTGAACATGCTGTTTTCTGTCTTGTTGACTCATGTCAGAGTGAAGCGGGTCAGGGTAATCTGATCCACAGTGACTGATAGAGACGGACGCCTGGGGTTGCAGATTCTCAACTGAATTTCTATAAACCCTTGTTTCAACCTGACCGAGTAACATTAAATATGACTGAGAGTCTTAAAAAACAAAACAAAGCAAAACAAAATACTAACTCTTTTCAAATCTTCCCACTCCTCCAAGAGTGGGGTTTGGTTACTCTAGAAAGCTCAGATAACTAAACCACATACTATTCTTTCTCTTTCATTTTGGTAGGGCTAGCTGGAATTTCTCTTTCATGTATCTTTCTACTTTGTTTGAATGTATCAAGAGCAGTTTACACTTTCGTTTAGAAGGACTCCCTGTATTTAATCCAAAGTTCCAGATTTATGTCAAACCAGGCAGCTTCCATCTCCTTAAGGCCTTTTTGCTTCACAGCTGACTTCTGACTTGAAAGGACAGATGTAATTTGGGCCCAGAGGTCTCAAACATCACAGCTGTGAGGATGACACAGGGCTAGGCATTCTGGGTTTCATTCTGCTCACACAGGGTTGCTATGAATCACAACTGATTCCGTGGCACTTAACAATAACTATCCCCAACACCGCTATTTTCCAGACAAGGACAGAGGTGTCCAAAGTGGAAAAATTACTTCTTCAGTGCTACAATTGGTACCTGAGCTCAGATTTAGGCTTTTATGACTCTTTGCCTAGTGGTCCTTTGACTAAATGACATTGCCTCTTGAAGGCAGGCAGGGAGAACCTTTTTTTTTCTGCCCAGGGCCTTTGGATATTTATAACATTAGGCCATACCAAGTTATCAACTTGAGGCAGCCCAATATGTAACCAATATGCTACCAGGGTTCCAGTTGGAAACCACCAGCCACTCCAGGGGAGAAAGATAAGGCTTTCTCCTCCCATAAGAACTTAAATTCTCGGGAACCAGAGGGCCAGTTCTACGCTGTCTGATAGGGTAGCTAAGAGTCAGAAATGGCTCCCTGGCAGTGAGTTATTTTGGTTTGTTTGTTTTATATGGCCTGTGGGCTGGACGTTCCCCTGTTGAATGGCATACCCTTCGTCACAGCTCATGCCTTTTCCTGCTTGTTTTTATCATTACAGATGGACAAAGCATCCCATCGAAACTTTATTCCATGGGCAATGTAGAAACATGCTACACGGTAAGTAATGAATGGCCTGTGTTGGGCTGGTCAGTCTTTACCTTCAAATGCCCGTGCAGCATCCACCAGGTGGGACCAATCCAACCCTGTAGCTGTGTCAGGGAGGGGCATCAGGCCAGGGTCTGTGCACTTGGACTTATCCGATAGGGACCCATCAGAGAACCAGCACTCATCTAAGCAGAAACAAAACCAGAGCGCCAGTCAGAACACAAACACTATGCGTCATTGCAGTCTCCCTCATGAAGGAGCTGAGGGAGCATCATTTAAAACACTTCCTGTCCTCAGCTAAGAGACCCTGAGCTGCAATTATCAAAATGGTTGAAAAATTGAAGTATTTTTTAAAAAATAGCACACTATAGATTCACCTGTAGACCAATCAATGAGTAAAGCACAGGGGTCAAGGGAGAGTAAATTTGAGACTATATAGAATCATGGTTTCACAGAAAGTTTTCTTCTAGAACAACTTTTTGTTTTAAATACATCCAACATCTGGCTACTTGCAAGATGAATTCTTGCTTTCCTCAGAAAGTTATTTCCCTTTCTTTTAAGTCAGCATTGCTGGCTTCTATTGTAAAAATATTTGAAGCGATTTCTTTCTATCCTAATGATTTGAAAAAAAATCTAATGTGAACTCCAAAATTTCAATATGAAAAAACCCCATAATAATATCAACTTATAAATGCACTTAGATTAATTTCATTTTCATTATAAAGCAGTAACAAACAAGAGAATAATATTTTATATGCTGTGCCCAAAAATGGCAGTTGGAATACTTTGTGACTCATAGCTGGTTCTTTAACTGCTCCTGAAAAGATTTATAGTCTCAGAAACTGTGCAGAGTAGCTATGAGTCTGACTCAGAAAGAGGACCACAGGGTTAGAGGTTTTATAATTGGTTAAACCAGGAACCTTTCATCTATTCTGCCTTTAATATATGGCTATATAAATAGATCTTTAAATTTCCTTTTCTCTTTAAATTCTCACCGCAATCTTTTGAATGTGCTCATCATTAAAAGTAGTTGTTGTTAAGTATTCATTTTGCATTTGGGCACTCGCTCATTTACAAAAGGCTTCTACTGACTTGCTTTTACCTTGCATTTTCTGCATCTGTTCAAATGCTGCATACCGCTGCCTGTGAACACATCTGACTAATTAGACCAATCAAAATAATGACCACCTGGCTATCTGAGCCTACAATCAAGTTCAATAAGGACACAATTAATCAAATGCACCTGTAATTTTTCTACCAAATGGTTTGGGATAATATGAAATATTGGCATCTGGACTGGGATGGAGATTTCAAGCTTGGCCTTGCTAAGGACTAACATTCTCCCACTGTTTGATACCTTTCACATGTAGCTCTTAGCAGATTTCTAATAGCTAAAACTAAACCAATCAACCCAATCCAGCTTTAACATTAACCGTGTTTATAAGTGTCATTTAACTCCAACTTATTCCACTAGCCTCTATCTTGAAAGGAGTGTCAGTAATAAATATCACATTAGTAGTACCTACTCAGCTCAAATCTCTGCACTCTTCTTCTTCCCTATATTTTTGGACTGAAATAACTGTTTCTGTCCCAAGCAGCTTATTGTCAGTATGGTAGATTTTGTCCTTGCCAAGGAGTCTATGGGGTGGGAGGAGCCTTCCTGGAGAGGGCCTGTGAGTGAGAGATAGCAGAGTCTCTGTCTTCTTTCCCCACATGGCGTATGGAAGTACAGCACATACAGAGAGCCCAGCTTCTTTGTGTGTCTAACAGGGGCTAGGAATAAACCTACCCGATCTTTGACTAGCCATTTCAAATTCCAACCTGGAGCCAAAAAATCACAAGCCGATTGATCAATAATAGAATAACTCTACAAGACTGAAAACAGGAAAACATAGACATGAATTTATAAACAATGACAACTACAAAGCAAACAAAAAAAGGGTGGGTGGTGGTGGTGGTATGGGGTGGATAAATGACAGAACTTCCAAAGGAAGTCAAGAAAATATCAGCATAAAATGGACTATGATAAACTTGGAAAAATAATCACAAATTACATGGTAATCTGAAAATAAATGAATAAACCTCCTTAACAAAACAAAAATAAATTTACAGAGATCAAGTAAACATGAAAACAACAGAGGATATCTAAACAATGTATATGGAATAAAGAACCCATCAGTACCAAACAAACAAACAAATGAAACAAAAGCCCACAGCAAAATCACCAACGAAAACCAAACCCAACTCACTGTCAGTGAGTTGATGCTGACTCAGTGACCAGAGTAGAACTGTGCCTGTGAGTCCCCAGGGCTGTAACTCTGGATGGGAGTCAGAAGCCTGTCTTTCTCTCGTGGAGCAGCTGGTGGGGTCAAACTGGGGAACTTGCGGGTTAGCAGCTGGACAAGTAACCGCCACACCACCAGTGCTCCTAAACATCACAGTAGCAACAGTCAATTCACAACTAGTGGTCACCACACTGAATGCAAATGGATTAAGCATACAAATCAAGTGACAGAGAGCAGTAGAATGGATAAGAAGACAGGGTCTACAGAGATGCTGTCTACAAGAGATAGTTTAGACACAGACATTAAAATAGCTTAAAAATCAAAGGGTGGAAAAGTCTATCAGGCAAATGGCAACCAAACAAGAATGAGTAGTAGTAATATTAATATCTTATAAAACAGACTTTAAGACAATAATAGCCAAAGGGATCAGGAAATTAATAGTGATAAAAGGATCCTCAACAAGAGGATGTAAGTATAAAACATATTTATACACCCACTGAGAAAGCCTTAAAGGCCTAAATTAAATTTTGACAGGTTTAAAAAGAGAAAAAATAACTTCACAAGATACTTTAATATACAAACATAAGAGACTTTAAAACATCACTTTCAGCGAAGGACAGAACAAGAAGATAAAAAACAAAGATATAAAGATACATAAAACAATCAATCAACTTTCTAGTCTTGTTGATTCTATTGCTTTTCTGCTCTAATTTTTATTATTAATTTTTCTTCTGGTGACTATTTGCTATTTTTGCTGCTTTTTTAAATTGTTGGAGATGTGTACTCAGATGTTTTGGGCTCCTTTTTAAATGTACATGTATTGCTATAATTTGTCCTATAAATACTGTTTGTGTTGTATTTATGTTTTTGTGTTTTCATTCTTATTTCAAGGATTTTTTCCTCTACTACCTAATAATTTTTAAGCAGAGTTTTAATACTAAGTTTCCATGTATTTGATTTTTTCCCCTTAATATTTCATCTTGCTTGGATTCACAATCCATGCTCACGGAATCAGCAGTCAAGAAATAAAACAATGTATTGTCGTAGACAAATTCTGTTCCAGAAGACTTTAAAATACTGACGAGAAAGGATGTCACTATGAAAATTGCCTCAAGCCATAGTATTTTCAATCACTTCATATACATGTAAAAATTGGACAATGAATAAGGAAGACCAAAGAAGAATTGATGTGTTTGAATTATAGTGCTAGCAAATAATATTGAAAGTACCATGGGCTGCCAGAAGAACAAATCTGTCTTGGAAGAAGTACAGCCAGAATGCTCTGGGGAAGCCAGCCAGGTGAGACTTTTCTCAAGTAGTTTGGACAATAAATATGACAAAGATCTTGGGAAAGTCAAAGGGCAGTGAACAGGACATGACATGGATTGACACAGTGGTTGCAGCAATCGGCTCAGACCCAGCAATGATTGTGAGCTTGGCACAGGACCGCGCTGTGTCTTGTTCTGGTGTGCACAGAGTCACTGTGAGTGAGAACCAACTTGATGGCCCCTACCTAACAACACAAAAACTGTGTCCTACTAACTTTGAAAGCTTGGAACAAATGGGCAAATTTCTAGAAACACTCTACCTAGTCAAATGAACACATTCCAAAGTAGAATATTTGAACAGACCTTTTCCAAAAGAAGGCATGAACAAGTCATTAAAAACAACAATAAGAACAGCCCCTCAAAAAAGTCCTGGCCCAGACAACTCACTGATGAATTCTAGTCAATATTCAGAGAGGAGCTGGCATCAGCTCTGCTCAAAATATTCCGGGACATAGAAAAAGATGAAAAATTCCTAATCGCATGCTAGGAAGCAAGCATAATCCTGATGCCCAACAGAACTCAACACCATTTCAAAAAGTAACATGACCAAGTAGGAGTCACACTAAATTTATATATAGTTCAGCATTTGAAAAACAATAAAGCTAACCCACCACATTAATAAAACACATATCAATTGAGGCAGAAAGGCATGTGACAAAAACCTAATACCCGTTCTTGATTAAAAACACTCGGTACAACAAGAAAAAGAAATTCCTCCACATGATTAACGACATACAGAGAAACTCAATATCCAACATTATTCTTAATAGAGACTCAAAGCACTCCCTTTGCAAATGGGAACCAAGTAAGAATTCCCTTTATCACGATTCCTATTCAATGATATATTGGAAATGCTACTCTGAGAAATAAGGCAAGAAAGGGAAGTCAAAGGCATCCAAATGTTCAAAGAAGGAAAAAAACTATATTTGCAGATGATAGATGTTCTAGATAAATAATCTGAAGACACTTTAAAAGAAAACTACTGAACTAATAAAAGTATTTAGCAAAATGGCAAAGCACAAGATCAACATACTAAAATTGGGCAGATTCCTAGTCTACACTAACAAAGATCTCAAAAGACCACTTAAATGGAAGAATATACCATGCTCATGGATAGGCACACTTAATATTGCGAAAATGTTAATATTACCCCAAATGCTCTATAGATAATGTTATTTTAATCCACAAATCTATCACAATTATGTAAAAAGCTGTAGAAATTAATCACAAATTACTTCTTTTGTTTTCCCATACTTTATTTTTTTAATTGCATTTTACAATCATATAATTTGCAAATTTGTGCCAATAATATATCTACTGTTATTCTTTCTAATGCTTAATTCTTTGCTGAAAGTACCACTCACATATACAGAAGTTCAACAATTTTATGTGGTTTTGAATAGCTGTTAGAAAGACAAACAATTTTGTAATTATTTACAACTTAAGCCTTAATTAAATAGAGTTCAAATTGTTGCTATCTCGTCAGGCTGACTTTTAGAAGCATCTGACTTTAGCAATCCTCTATAAAATGTGAAAAGTGTTAAATGTTTTTTAATTGATATTGTACATAAA